GCTGTAGATGGCAGTGTCACTGGCCCTCATGTGGGATCCGAACCAGGGCCCTCTGGCATCCCAAGCCAGTTCTTAACCATCGCGCCACTCAGCCGGCCCTAGTGCTTCTCTTTCAAAGCACATATCACAATGCCAGTTTTATAGGTATTTGTCTCACTTTTTATTTATTTATTTATTTATTTATTTATTTATTTATTTATTTATTAAAATTAATTTCAGGTGTGCAACACGGTGCAATAGTTATACTTTTTACCCCTCAAAGTGACAATCCCCCTCCCCCAATCCGCTGCCCAACTCCCTCCCTCCCATATCATACATATCTATTACAATTCCATTGACTCCCCTCCTCCACATCCTGTGACTATATATATATTCAATTATAGTTGACATACAATATTACACAAAATTAGCTTTGGGTGTACAGTGCAGTGATCAAGTCTCTACCCCATCCATGAAGTGGTCTCCCTGTCTCACTTTTTGTAATGGTCTTTCTCCCCCCACTGGGCTGGACACTCTTGTATCCCCAGAGTCTGTGCACATGACCTGGCATACAAAAACTGCTCTTTTGCTGCAAGAATGAATGAATGAATGAATAAATGCATGCATTTTTTGGGTCTCTTGCTGGCTGCCATCCCTTACCTTCTCTGGCCACCCATGTTCTGCTGTCTTAGAAAGATCAAAGGATGGCTTTGTCCTTCCTTTGAGCTCCTTTGCACTTCCAATCCTCCCTCTTGCTCACTTTTCGGATTTGCTCATTTCCACAGACTTCACTTTTGGAACTTGGCACTGGCTGGCTGCCTGTAGCTGGGGTTTCAGGGCTGGCCTTTTCCTGTGGGTGGGCTCAATTCCAGATCAGACCAGAAGTTGTTTGAGGTCAGGGACTGCTTGGCACAGAGCCAGGTGAAAAAGCTTTGTGGAAATGAATGGACATGGACAAAAGGTGAGTTGCTCCAAGCTGCAGAGGCATCCACACCAAAGAGTTCCTGTTTCCAGGTTCCCCAGAAGGAGAATCCTTACTCCCTGTGGTAAGGTGCTATGACGGGCCCTGGACATAGCCTTATGCAGTTTACTGTTCTGGGGGTGGGTGGGTGGGGGAAACGGGGAAGACTGCAGCCTCAGTGGAAGAACCAGCACTGATGAGGGAGGAGGAGAGCAGATCTCAGAGGCACAAAGTGCTAAGGAACAGGCTGCTGGCCTTTGGGCTGTGGGTGGTTGTCTGGTGGTGAGCAGGGAGGGCCTGAGGCAGAACAGCATCCTGGCAGGGTTTGTGTGGTCCTTCCCCTCCCTGCACCTTATCACTCCAGGAAGGCTCCCCTCTCCAAAAGTGGCTGCTTTATAGCCGACCTGGGTTCCAGCCCCTGAGAGCATCCCCCAACCCTCCTCTGAACTAGGCCTGCCCTGGCCTGGGCTGCAGAGCCACCTTTGTCACCAGTTCACTGTGTGACCTTGAGTGAGTTGCCCCTACTCACTCAGCCATCTCTGTTCTGAGCCCCGACATCATTGGCTTAAACATGTGTTTCCAGGTGGGCAGGCTAAATCCCCAGGAAGGGAAAAGGTTTGATGAGCTCCTTGGAAAGGATTCTCGGTTATCTTCCCTCTTGCTTGCCTTGGAAGAGCCCCAGATCACATTATTAGGTAATGCACGCGGCAAGGAAATAGCTCCCAGTGGGATCCCCTCTCCCACTCTCAGTTTCTTCCTCCTTGTGGAGTAACAGTGCAGCGGAAGGCTGCAGGCTGTGGAGGGGGAGTCAGAAATGTGAGTGGGTGGGTGGCCTAGAGATGGCAATTGTGCTGAGCTTTTCCTAGCAACATCCAAAACTTCCAGTCCTCCCCATAATGTTCTCCACGGAGACCAAGAACTTGGCTAATTCCTGGAAACTGTCCTGCACCCATTTCACATGTGGAGAAGCCAGGTCCAAGAGGGCGGGGGACCCGTCCAAGGGCAAGTAGCCGGTGACCTGAAGCTTCTAAGCACCCGGCATCGGGCAGCCTGGTTCCTCACTAGAGCCGCTCCTGCTCTGCCTGGTGTGGCCCCATGGCGGGCCAGGAGCCCCGGCCCTGTGCCCGCTGTCCCACAGCAGGCCTTTGTGCCAGGCGGGCACCACCCCCTAGCGGGCCCCTCCCCGCTGGCGGGTCAGCCCTTACCTGCCGGCCCGCTTCCGCCCAGCCAGCAGCTTCGCGCGCTCCTAATTCCGAGCGTCGCGTCCAGAGCTGGTCCCCGACGGCTCAGCGCAGGGGCCCCACACCACCGCCCGGCTGCCCCGGCTTCGCGGGTGACCTCCCTCGGGGCTGATCATTAACCCGGAGGCCGTATAAAGAGCGAGCAGTGGCCTGGGTGGGAAAGGCCTCGTCGCCGCCTCGTCGCCGCCGCCATGGACAGTAGCACCTGGAGCCCCGCGACCACGGCCACCGCCGCGCCCCTCGCGCCCCACGAGCGCATCCGCAATGCAGCCGACATCTCTGTCATCGTCATCTACTTCGTGGTGGTGATGGCTGTCGGGCTGTGGGTATGTAGGGGCCCTGGGACACTCTCTGAGGGGGTGAAGGCCAGCGGGAGGGACAAGGAGGGGCGCACGGAGGAGCAAGGGCCTGGGAGAACTCCGAGGAGAGGAGGGAGAATTATCTTAAGGGTGTGTGGAGTCCAGTGAAAATGACTTGGAAGTGCTTAAGAGGAATAGGGGGGCACAGAAGAGGTGAGGGGGGCAAACAAAGATGAGCAGAAGTGAGAGGGGTGCTGGCCAGCACCAAAGATGGACACCTGGGACCTGTCTGTGAGCAGAGAAAAAGGGTGGGAGATTGGAAACGGAGGGGTGTGGTGTGAGGGGACAGGAGAGGGCCAGCTTGTAGCTGCAGGGAGGGTCCCCCAGCTGGGGAGAGGAGCCCAGACAAGGTGACTACTGTCCTGCCTCTTCATCATCCAGTTTTGGATGGAAAAGAAACAGGGTAGATGGGGAGGGACACAGCCTCTGCCAGCTGCAGGTGCTGTGGGGCAGCCTAAGGTGTTGGGGGGTGCTTCATGGTGTCCCCCTCCTGGGGAAGGCTGACCTGATGGCTTTGTGCCATGGGATCCCAGGGGCTGGAGTGAGTGAGAGTTGGGAAACCTGGTTAGAGGAGGAGGAGGAGGAGGANACACACATATATATATATATATATATATATATATATATTTACCACTCCCTCCACACACACACAAAGATGCAGGCAGAGATTGGAGTGATGCAGCCACAAGCTAAGGAATGCTGGTAGCCACCAGAGGAAGGAAAAGACAAGGAAGGATCCTTTCCTAGAATCTCAGTAGGGCAATCCAGCTGATACCTTTATATTAGCCCAGTGAAACTGATTTTGGACTTCTGCCTTCCAGAACTGTGAGAAAAGAAATCTGTTGTTTTAAGCCACCAAGTTTACTGTAATTTGTTACAGCAGCCACAGGACACTAATACACTAATCAATACCTGAGCTTGCAAGAAGGAAAAGGAAAAGGAGAGAAAGCCATAGCAGCTCTTTCAGTACCTCACCTTTACCTTCTCATTGTCAACAAGGCCCCTTCACACTGTCATTTCAGGTGGACTTCATGGGTACCATGAAACAGTCCTTATTGTTTATGCCATTATATTGTTGCAATGATGTTGCTAACCTTTTTTTTGATAACAGAGGGATAATTCATTATGAATTTGTACCAACTAGACAAAAAGTTAACCAAAGTTTACTATTTGGAAGTGCTGAAAAGTCTGCATGAAAAAGTTAGACGACCTGAACTTTTCACTACCAATTCATGGCTCTTGCATCACGACAATGCACCAGCTCACACAGCACTGTCTGTGAGGGAGTTTTAGACAGTAAACAAATAACTGTATTAGAACACCCTCCCGACTCACCTGATTTGACCCCCAATGACTTCTTTCTTTACCCGAAGATAAAGGAATTTTCTTTTTTTGTCATCAGAGCATTTATTGAAGTTAGGGCAACTCAATTAGAAGAAAAAGAATAATGGACATAGAATTAACTCAAAGAAATAATTCTAAATTTAAACACAGAGAGTTCAGTTTTCTTTCTATACTGCAGATGAAATAATAAAATTTGACCTGGATTTATTGGTATTTAATCCCAATTATAATAAAAACTTGAAATAAAATAAAGATAGTTTGGTTAAAAGGAAATATTGAAAGGAAGACATTTTGATGACATTCAGAACATCAAGGGTAATATGATAACAGCTCTGATGGTCATTCCAGAACAAGAGTTCCAAAATTTCTTTGAAGGGTGGACTAGGCACTGATGTCAGTTCATAGCTTCCCAAGGGGAATTCTTTGAAGGTGACTGTAGTGATATTCAGCAATGAATGTAGCATTGTTCCTAGGATGAGTTAGTGAACTTATTTGTCTGACCTCGTAGATGTTCAAAGGGAGAGTCATGGAATATTAAGTGAGCTGTCCACAGTCTGTTGCTGGTTGGTGGCTGTGCTGAGATTCAAACTAGTTTTGTGGTCTCCTCCACAGGCAACATCCCAAACTCATGGCCTCTGCACTTGGGCTGTTGATTTTGCTATGTGATGAGTTCAGGAGCTGGCCACCCCACCATGGGGTCTCTTGCTAAGGAGCACAGCTTGGCCAGTGAAAAGTGGACACTGCACATTTGGGCCTGCTTAGGAGGAGCTCCCAGGCTAGCAGGAGCAGGTGGAACTCTTGTGGGACCTGGACCGATGAGTAGTGTGGAGGGAGACAGAGAAGAAAATTCTCACAGAGTGACATGTCATTACCCTCCAAATCCTGGGTCTCTCCCCTGACATTTGTAGATATCAGCTTAATGATCTTAGAATCATTTGAATATTTATTCTTCTCCCAATAGTCAGGTTTAGCTGTGAATCTGTGGCCACCTGGCTTTTCAAAATTAGCCCCCCAGCCTGACCATGGATTGTGAACCTGTGTGGACTCAGATAGGGTCTGCTTCTTGCTCTCACACCTGTCTTTCTTCATCAGCTTCTTCTTCCCCCACGGCCCGACTGTTGACCAGTTTTCTTCTTTCTCTGGGGTTCTGGTAGCAAGGTACCTTTCAGTGACCAGACCCTGGTTTTGGTTAGCACCAGTGAGGGCAGGAGTGGGGTCATCGGGATCCTTATCCATGGGCTGTGACCTTGCAGGTCTGCCTAGTTGTGGGGGGCAGGTGTTCCCCTGGAAGCAGCTGTTCAGAGGAAATAATTTTTTTAATTAGGCTGTACAACATTATTTTTAACAAGGTGTACAATGTGATGATTTAATATATGCATTCAGTGTGAAATTATTACTACAGTCAAGTTAACTAACACATCCATCACCTCACATAGTTACCATTTTGTGTGTTTTTCTTTCTGATGAGAATATTTAAGAGCTACTCTCTTTGCAGTTTTCAAGTATACAAAATTGTATTGTTAACTATAATCACCATACTATACATTAGATCCCCAGAACTTATTCATTTTATAACTGAAAGTTGGTACCCTTTGAACAACATCTCCCCATTTCCCTCAACCCCCAGTTCCTGGCAACCACCACTCTACTCTCTGGTTTATGATTGATTTTTTTAAAAGATTTTTACTGGGGAATTGGGGGATGGGAACAGCGCTGGAGAATTGGGGGAAGGGGAACAGACAAGTTGCTGTCCTTTTGTTCTTCAGTCTAGTTGTGGAGTACATTGCTTCACTGGCCCAAGTTGGCACCATCATTGCGCTTTTCCCAGGCGAGGCAGATCAGTCGCC